ATTTTCTAAATTAAAGCTCCGTTCCAGAAGTGGATGAAGTGTCAGACGCAAGCCTCTTCATTCTCCTTTTCTCCAACTCAATCCGTATCTCCTCCTTACTCCCCTCATCCTCCTCAATATACCTCCACGGCAGCTGCCCCCTCAACTCCTCCACCACTGCCACATCCGAGTAGGCGTAAAACTCCCCCGAATCCTCWCCTTSATTARTGAGATTCTTATTGTTATTGTCACTTTTACCACTTCCACTACTCCTGGTGGTGTCTACAGTACCGTAAAACAACTGCCAGTTTCGGATTCGATCAGCTGAGGTGTCTAGATTCACACGATTCGGATTCGGTCTTTCGTTTTTGTACGATTCGTGATAGACAGAGATGGTGGCTTTGATGACAAGGATGAAACCCACCCAATTGGAGATCCAGATTAAGATGAAGCGGCTGCTGACGCAAGAGAGAGCGATGGAGGGGGTGGCGGAGAGGAGGAAGGGGGGGTTCTTGGAGTCAAGGTCCAAGAGAGAAGGTTGGGTGATGCCCACAAAAGACATCCAGTTTGTGAAATTCTTAAAAAAAAATCCAAAAATTTTTTTTTTTTTGAAATTTTCAAACTTACAGTAGTTTCAGAAATGTCTAAGCCGAAAAGGACACTAGCGGCGGCGTCAAAAAGACAAACACAAACAGTCAAAATCAAATAAGGACCGTAAAACACCAACGATAATGATTCTTTTATCCCAAAACAAGTGCCCACTGAAACAATCGATTTTTTTCATGCTTTTTTCAGCACGTGTCATACTTAAAAGGGCCATTGCTGAAATCACCCAAGTGCCATCCAGAATGATGAAACACAGCAGGAATACTGAAATTCTGGAAGAGGCTGAAACATGATCTGGAAACAAGTGGACCTTTTCGAGCAATTCTCTGACGATGGCGTCCAAAGTGGGGTTATTGTCAATCAAAATACTGTTAAAAAGTTTCGTTACGTAGGAATCGAGTGGATTTGGGGCCTCGATTTTGGGGGTTGGGCAATCGCTGTCTTTAAAAAATTGTTAATTGTAAAATTTTTGTTTAGAAAATACTTACTGTATAAATAAGTGAGGTAAAAAAATATGGTGGTACTTTCAGTGGGGGAATTCCGACAAATGCTCAAATAATAGGAATAAATGACGAAAAGCAGATGCAAAGTCGTCTGGACCTGAAAAAAATGCAAGGAAAAATCATATTTTCAAATTAAAATTA